ACTATGGATTGTATAAAACAGAAAAGTAGTGCACAAACTGAGAATAATAAGTAGTGAGTCAAAGAGAGCAATTTGAGTAGGCACATGGATTATCCAAAACATATAAAATCATGCAAAAATGTGTGAGGTTCATTAGTTTTAAAATCAAGTTTTAGTCTTAAGAATACTCAGTTTTTGACAAAAGAATTAAAAAAAATAAATGCTCAAAGTGAGCTTGGATTTAACTGTAGTTCCCGTTCATATATTTGTTATCCTGAGCAAAATTGGAGGCTAAGTATCCCACTGAATTAAGTGTGGAAAATATTGGGCTTGCAGGAGCAAAACTTAGCCTTTGAATGTCGGGTGACATGGTGTGCTGTGTAAGTGACATTTTACAGCTATGTTTATAGCAATGTCTACTATATGTTTATACTAATTCAAGATCTGAGCTGCAATCTATATTCATGGTTGAACAATCAAATAATTTGGCCATTTATCTAGAAAGCACTAGGCTTGGTGAATAGTATATTGCAGCTCTTAATTTGTGTTAGAAACTCTGTGCAGGAACCATAAACTTCTTTACTTAAAATGTTTTGTCTGTGTAGGCACGAACTCATGAGGTAGGAGGAAGGTGCTGCAGGATTTTATTGCGCTATTGCATCAAGTATTGCACGGCTGTGCTGTGTGTGGTGTTCAGTACCAGACCAAAGTAATGTTTGCAATGAGAGTAAAACGGACAAAAAAAACCAAGACAGATCAAAGGCTGCCTCAGTTGTTGTATTTTGAATTGAATCAGTGAGGCGGTGGTTCCTATTTTCAAGACCAGTAAACAGAACATTTTTGGTAGCCTGCAGACAATATGTTGATAACATCTTTAAGGTTGTATTCATTTTAGTCATAAACATATGCTTTGTTAATAATCTAAGCACCCCTTGTGGAGAAAAAATGAGGGGAGGTGCACCTCTTGTTTTATCAGCTCCTTATGGAACAAATTGATAAGCTTCATCTCAGTGAGATGGAGGCACATTCGGGAACTATTTGGGGGGTGGTGGAAAGAAGTTGCAAATTTGCGCAGAATGAAACAGTGACAAACTTAGAGGGCTGAATTATGAAAATGTTGTAAGTAGTTGTATGGGAACAGCTGGATCACGGCCTGAACCTCTGATTGATCACCTGAGGCGAGCGCTGAGTCAGCCATGGAGCACAGGTGAAGGCAATTCTCCTGTGCTGCCGGAAGGGTGGAGCCTGGCTGCACCTCTCCTAAGGCCCATTTAAGAGCTGACTGCCAGGGGGGAAGGAGCTCTTCTGGAGATCCCTCCTCTGGAGTTTTGCAGTGAGCCCAGGATACAGGTAAGTATTCTATCTTTTCTGTTTTTTGTTATTATAATCTGCTTTGCCTAACTCTCTTGTTTATTTCATAATTATAGCATCTTTATATTCATTGATTATACAGTTGTACAAATGTTTGGCTGTGTTGTTGTATCATTTATGAAATTCAGACTATATTGTGCTTGCAGCCCAGGTTGCAGAAGCAAAAACTATTGCTTATTCCCACTTGGCACCATCATCTGTAATGCTCTCTGGCCTTTGCCATAAAACCCTCAGTAGTGTAATAAATATGTTTCACTGAATTACTGTTGCAGCAGTCTGACTGTTCTCGGGAGATAATGCTGGGTTCTTCATGAGGCTGTCACTTCTTGTCTCTTTCCAAACTACCTAGATACTGAAAAAGAGGAGAAATTAGTGATCTGCCACCTTCGATATGGAATGGAGCATTCCTGGGTGTCTCTAGCATCTGACCTGAGGTCTCCTGTGTTATGTGTGCTTTTGACACCACAAATGAAACTAAAAATCATATAAAGCTGGCTTATTTGACAAAATATCTCCCAGTTTGTTGTTGTAACTGTGATAAACACAATATTGACACCACATCACCCCCTTATTGGAAAACAAAACAAAAAACACTACCATCATCACCAAAGCAAACAAATAAACCTCATTTCAACCCACAATCAACCAAAAAAAACCACCCCAGCACTGGCTTTTTGTGGTGCAATCCCCTCAACTGTTTGTTTGTTTCTAAAGGCCCTGAACTTAGTCTCTCTCTAAGCACGCACTTTCCCCCCAGGCATTTTCAGGGATTTTTATGGAGGCTTGAGACTTTATTCCAAGCACAGATGTTTGGATTACATCATAAGCTGTTTTCAAAGAAAGTTTTTAATAGTGGGCAGTTTGATAAATCACTCTGTTATTGGAATATCCAGATATATTCCAGAGATGGTCCTATTTATTGCTGACATATGAAATTATATCACTATCAACTGTTGCAACTTCACTGAGATGTAATAAAACATTGTTCATTCTGTTCAAGAACAGAACACTCAAAATCATTCTATTGAATATATTTTTAATAACAGAAGTGGAAGCTGAACAATTTATCTGCAGGTGCTTGTTTACTGTAACTTATTCAAGTTGTGATTTTTTTTTTTTTTTTTGAAGCTGCAAATCAAAAGACAAGGGATTATGCTGAGTAATTCTTTTTGAATTATTGAACACTGTCAGTTATTGAATGTGCCATTGGTAAGTATGTTGTGGCTTTTCTTGAGACAAGAAAAGGTGTAACTGGTCTGATTTGTGGAGGAAAATGCCAGCGCATGACAGTGCCTCCAGCAGCATTTGCTGGTAGCTGATAACGCGTGCAGGGCCATATTTCCGCAGCCCTCTAACAGTTCTCCTTGTAGCCATCTCTGCTGCCAACAGGCACTCTGTCTGGGGAGCCAGTTTCAGCTGCATCCTGTCAATGTATAGGGGATTAATGAAGGCTGGCTGTTTTGAATGTGCCCTTTGTTGTGACACGTGTGGAAGAAGGCACCTTTGATTAAGGGTGTGTTTTGAAGTTCAGGGTATCAGAGTTCCACACATTGGCTCTGGCACCAGCTAGACGTGATCCTTAATTCCTGCATCTTCAGCACTAATTCCTGAAAGGCAAGAAATGACTTTTCCTTTTCCAACTTCTGTGTTTGTCCTGTGAACTGCCTGGATTGGGGGTGCATGCTGTGTGTTCTTGCAAAACAGTAGGGCCTAAATTCTGATGTAAAACTATGTGTTCTGTAAAAAATATCTTGAGTGCAATTGACTTGCATGTGTTGGTTCTTGTGAAGGTACCCATTTATTGCTCTCCACCTTTTTCCCCCCCAAAAAAATCCAAATGTGGTTTGAATATTTAGTGAAACCTAAGGCAGGCAGTTGACTTTATTCTAAAAAGTAAAAACCAGACAGAAGTTGAAATAAAACTTCTTTGTTTTCTGGGAAAGAGATCGGTTTAGCTGGAAATGGTGGAGCTTTCAGGGCATGGATAAATAATAGGCGTGAGGTAGAAAGGTAATACTTTAGAAAGAGACTGGAGTCAACCTCCGGAATGGGTTTTGCTTATTGGAATCCCGGGGAAAGTATGGACAGGAGGAACGAGAAAATCTTAAATCTGAAGTAGGAATTTGGGGATTTGCATGTTAGCTCTCCAACTCTTCATCCTTTGCCATTGCTCTGACACTTACCTGGATTTGTGTTAAGGGACATTTTGTTATGAGAGATAAAAGCAGGTCACTTTGCTCCTACAACCCTTGAAATCAAGGTGCTGGGCAAGGGTCACAGTGCTCAGTGTGCTACAGAGTTCTACAGGCTTCCTGATGTTAAGGGTGTATTACTCCACTTTGCTTCATGAGCTGGTATAGAGGTTGGTAATAGTCAAATGTATTGAAAAGAAGGGGGGGGGAAAGAAAGGGGGTAAAGGGGAGAGGAGTAGAACCTGTCTTCTGCATGATTAGCAAGCTAATCAGCCAAGGGTAGAAGAATGGGAAGAATCCTGAACCTGAAGTTCCCCAGGAGACCAAGAAAACTTGTCTGAGTTTGCGATATGCCAGTATGCATATGGGGTAATTTAAAGACCTGGTACAACATATGTTTGTGCAGCAGTCCATTTCAACTGCCTCTGGGGGGGGAGAGGGGGCTATGTTCCGCATTTATAGTGCAGTGATATGGTTACATGAATAAGCAGATGAATAAAGAAGGATGTCTGGTATGCTGGCAGCAACAGATGAAGTTGAAATTGAAGGTGTTGACTTCATTGTCAAAAAAAGTAGAGTATAGCAGAATTGCTTTGTGTATAAATTTTTGTTGTTGACTTGAAAAATCCCCAAATAATTGCACTGTTACAATACTTGTAAAACAAGTTACAAAATTCTAGAAATAATTATATGAAGATGATTCTCCCTTACTCAGTAAGGCTTGAGTCTCCTATTTTCTGCCTCTTTTGTTCTAATGGTCTTGGCTCTAATGCTGGGAATATGAGAACATCATTTTTAATACGTGTGTACTGGGTTAACTCGTAAAGGTGGGGGTTTCTTTTTGTTTGGTTGTTTTGATTTGGTTTTTAACTCTGTAGGTGTTGTATAGTAGGTATAAAAGCATGTGGTAATGAATTGTATCCACCACTGACTAGGGCATAGGTGTAATGTTTCCTGTACAGTATGTAAAATAGGTGTCAGGAGTGCACATCAATAAGTGCATTTTCCATCACTCTGAATGCTTGCTTGTCAGAAGACCATAACATTGTGGAAAGATCTACTGCTGTTTGGCTTTGTGAGTTCTGTACAAAAATTCAGGAGTCCAGAGGATTTTATGTAACCGTAGCAGTGAGCTTGATTCCCACTGCCCTGCCCTTCAGAAAAATTCCACAATGACACTTAAGCTTTCTCATAACAAAACTAATAGTGACTTCACTGAAGCCTCAAATTAATACAGAAGACCACTTGAATTTCCTTTTATTTGGTACTGTATCGAAAACCTGTATTAAGTGCAGCTTTTCTTGTTTCTTATTCAGTACATGCATACTTTGTGTAAAATCATTTCTAGTGTTTGAATCTGAAATATGTATTTCATTTCTTATTTGTAGGAAATTGTGAATGATCATTTATTCACTGAATTTGGAAATTTCCCCTTTTTTCTAGGAGTCATCAGTTGAGATGCTTCCATTGACTGGGAAAACAATAATATTTGATAGTTTTCCTGACCCCTCAGATACCTGGGAAATAATTGAGACTATTGGCAAAGGAACTTACGGAAAAGTTTTCAAGGTATTAAATAAGAAAAATGGCAGCAAAGCAGCAGTCAAAATCTTGGATCCTGTTCATGTAAGTTACTTAAATTGCTTGGGTTTTTTTCCTTACCTGGAAGGAAGTTAGGAGTCCTAGCTTCTTGTACTTCTGATTGTGTTCCTTTTCCTCTCTTCTGCACACTGTGAAAGTTACACATCTTTAAGTACCTTAGATGTCCCTTCAGACATCAATTTTGAGTCTGTGCTTTCAGCTTGGTGACATGCTAGGAGTGACATTTTAAAAAATAAAACTGCGTACTTCATTATTGTTATTGTTGGTTCTGCATTTTCAGAATGTGTCAGATTATGTATATATCACAGCAGGATCTATCTTCTCATACAGAAAATGTGAAGGCAGTAGCTCCTGCACAGACAGCGTGGTTTTGTATTGCGTAGCTGATGTTTGGGCGGCAGATAAATGTTCTGTAGGAAGAATGTTAGTAGCCGGGTTCATAAAGGTGGATTTGTCAACTTCAGCGGCACAGCATGTGGTGTGGGATCTTTCTTGAGAATGCCAACCTGCAAAAGGACAAGGAGCTGTTCCTTTTCCAGGCGGCTCCTCTGAGCTTATCTTTTGCACTTTCAAGATATTGTTACAGTTTCTATCAGGATGGTAGGTCTCAGGTGGCAGATGTTGCTCTGTGGTTTGTTCTGAATCTGCAATGTGAATACAAGCTACAGACTGCCTAGCAGCAAGAACTGTAGCAGTAAGAGACCGTTTCTCCTTGTAACTGCATTCTGGCTCTGTGACCTATATCTTATGCTTACACATGAGGCAAGTGCTTCCATTACACAATTCTCTGGGCAACTGAAGAAGAGCACATCATGCTGTGTGAAACACAGCAGTTTTGGAGCTGTACAGCCACACAAGGTTCTGTCTACCCCTACATATCAATGTCAGAATAATGTTACTGTGGCCTTTAAGTCCATAAAAGGATTGTAAAATTTACTGTCATGCTTTATCATTTTATTTCCTGATGATCTGCTTCAGATGAGTATGCTTTCAAAGAAGCAAAAGGAGGCTCATCTCAGTGCAATACCATCTACCTCTCCTCAAGTAAACAAAATAACCTTGCAAAGGCTAAACAAATGGACCTTGGTAAATTCAAATGCATTGGAAGCTCTCAGACTTCCCATAAACAGAGAATGTCCAACTGGAAGCACTGAAAACATTTTTTCAGCACGTTGTAATATGTAATATTATTCAGATCTACTTCTATTAGAATTATAGTTTTGCTGTAAAACTAGATTTCAGTTCTATCAAATTTTCTCGTGGATTTTTTTGTTACCTAGAATTAAGGGTGTTTTTCAGTGTGAGCTGAGGGTACTGTTACATAGAGGAGAGCCAGTAATGCATCAAAGTGCAGGACTTGAACTTTTGACTTATGCTATTCTTAGCATAAGAAGAATATATTTCTTCCTTTTCCCCCTCCTATTTACAGGAGGTCTGAAGTAGTTGCTGTACCTCCATGTTAGTACTAAAATGGCAATCCACTGTTTCAACAGTGAAAGGTATAAACAAGTCCTTTTTGTTTAAACTGAAAGTATTATTAATGGCTGCAGAGGGAGCCATTGCAATGAAGAAAAAGGTACTTTATTTATTTTCTTTAAATATTACAACTTTTTCTTTAAAGACAATTTCAGAGTAGTGCAGCATAAGAATTGAACTGAAGAATAGAGCAGAAAAAAGTGCTTTTATATTACTAAGCTTAACTTATATTTCCAAACTGAATTAAGAAATGATGTTATCATAGGTGACAAACTCCATGTTCAGTCCTTAGAGCTTTCTGATTTCTTTATGTTGAATAACAGCTCAGATTTTTGAAAGTGAAGTAACAAAGTGAGGGTGCTGAGATGATAATGTATGAAGATGGAACTGAGAACAATCTTAGTCTTGTCCTTAAGGCTATAAGAAAGAGCTGTTGTACATTAAGATGCTTAGCTGTTATTTTACATCTAATCTTACACAAAATTATTCTTTGCCATTTCTAGAAGAGTCACTCCCTTTGGTTATGCAGGTAAATATGTTAAATTTAACAAAATATATCAATTTCTGTTATTTCATAAAATGCAGAGGAAGATTTTTCTTTTTAGTATGCACAGAAATATTCTATTAATTTCATTCTCTCCACTTCTCCTCATAATGGTAAGAGTCTCGTAAAATCTGAGTACCCCTCAGGAGTCAAATCTCTATTGATTCCTTTTTTTAAATTGACTGTGTTCTATGTTATGCAGGTGGGAAAATTCATGTAATCTTTTTTTTTTTTTTTTGAAAGAGGAGAAAAATTCTGCTGCTTTTCAGCTGCTCCAGTTTTAAAAAAAAAAAAAAAGCTCCTCCTTGTGAGAAGACTTAATCTTGTAATCCCAATATGGAAGTTTATAGCCTAATTCCTGAAGATCCTGGTGACAGTCTGAGACTTTATAAAAAAAAAAAATAAAAAAAATTGCCAAAGGCTAATGTGAGGAACTTGGATTTAGTGTTGGAAAGTCCCACGTAGGAAACAAGTGTGCTGATGCCTCCTAAGAACAGGTGTGTTTGGTTGAGATAAATGAGAAGAACTGTCATTCACTAGGACTACAAAGTATCCATTTGGTGGTGGTGAGGAAGTTGAGAGAAGTTTTTGGCTTTTTGTTGATAGGAAATACTTCATTTGGGTAGTGGAGTTCACAGGTAGCCTTCCTCTACAATTTGTCATCTATTTATATTTGTGTGTAAATAGCAAATTGTATTAAAAGTAAATTAATTTTGGGAACAGGTATGCAACAACATTTGTTCAAGTTTTAAACTGTATGGGAGGAAAATGACTTGAGCTGTTTTGCCACTAAACTGTGGCACAGATAGACTGCATATATTCTGAGTATGAGTAAAACAATACGATAGTATCTCTCAGTGAGCTCTTTCAGTGCATAGGTGGCTTGTGTTGTTCAGTCCCCAGTGACTGGGGGTAGCCTAGAGATTGGGGGAGTAACTGGTGATTGCCCAAGGCATCTGCATGCTCTCCTGAAAACTTGCCAGCCTGCATCAGCACACCTGTGGGCTGTACTGGCTTCACCTTGAAATGCTCTTTGCCTCTTCTTCTGAGGGCTCCTCTGTCATGCCCCATATGTTTGTTATTTGAAATAACTGAAGACCAAGGAAAAAATATAACTTGTATTGAGAAAACACAACCAAGCTTTGTAGACTTTCAGGTGGTATATCAATACTTACATGGTTTTTTCTTTGCGCTATTTCAAACTCAATTTGAATAGCCTGGAAGTCTTACCTTTCTTTTTTTTGACAGATATGATTTTCTGCTTTGTATTTCTCATTTGTGACACTAGGATATTGATGAAGAAATTGAAGCTGAGTACAACATTTTGAAAGCTCTCTCTGATCATCCCAATGTAGTCAAATTCTATGGCATGTACTACAAGAAAGATGTGAAAAATGGAGACCAGCTTTGGCTTGTTCTTGAGGTAAATATTTTTTTAATATAGTTTTCTTCAAGTGAGTATTCCCACATTGAATATGAGCTCAGTGAACTAGATGAAAGTTGTTCGTTGTCTTTCCTTAGTGGTTGCATGTGAAGTGATGAATAGTGGTCTTGTGAGTGTTGATGAATTAATGATCTCCCCCAGTTTCAGCATTCTTTTAATGTATGGCATATTTATACTAATAGTGTTATGTCTTCAAAATAAGTTTATAAGCGCTAATAGGACTTGATAAGATTTGCTATGACCTTTCTTTGCTGAAAAGCATGTTGTGGAAATATTATTTGTTTAAATATGACTAAGGTGTGATGTAACAATTCATTATAGTGGTTACTTTAATTTTGTTCTAAATAAATGTTAGAAATGAATTACAGGTTGTTTTTTTGTTCACACAGATGCTTAAGTAGATAAATAAGGCAAGTGAACTAAGGCAGTAATCTGTTGCCAAATATTGTTGAAAATGGAATGAGAGTATGACCAGGCCTGTAATTTGTTTCCATCTTTAGGTCTTTAATTTTGACTAATCTAGGAGCAAAGAGGTTGATCATTATTGTTTTCATAGGTTCACTGGAGTCTATTCTGCAAAAACTTTCTCTTTACTGATGTTTGATCAGTGTTTGGCAAGGTTGAATTGGAAAAATTTGTTGTATTTTATAATGTCAGTTAAATGTATACATAGCTCCTGCCAAATACTTCATGTTCTCTAATTCTGAAAATGCCTAATTTCTAAAGCTTTTCCAAATTCTTCTAACTTGGATTGAGAAAATGTTTTTGAGATAATTTTTTATCATTTCCAATGCAAACTATTAGGTTTGACTTTGAAAAGAAGTCAGCTCTTTGGAAAATCTGGCTTCTTTTGTGTCTGCTGGGCATTTGAAACTCCATCTGTGAAACTTCTGTCCTGCAAAGGATGGATACCAAATAGCCATTATAGAACAATCACTATATATGTGAAGAAACTGTTAAGTGTTTATATCTGAACTTTTATATTTTGCCTGGATTTTTATTAATAATGTGAAAGACATAAGCTACATCTGGAGTACAAGTTCTGTTTTTATTCTCTGCATGCCATGCTGTGTGTAAGTGCCAGTATATGGGGTATGTGGGGTAATCTTGGATGCCTTCTGTCACTGCACACATAGATCCATGAGTGTAATGGATTTCAGTTGATGTGTTAAAGCTTATAAAAATTGTTGTCTTGAATTTATACGCATTTTTTTGAAAGACGACAATTAATCTTTAGCTTGCAGATGCTTCTGTTTCTATTGGAGGAGTGTGTGGAGGTTGTATTTGCTTTTGAAGTGTATGAAATATAGGGGGAGGGGGGCAAAAACCGCAGCTCTCAAAAGCATGTTCCATGCTACATATCTACAGCCCATATGGAAAGATAGCTCTCAGATTTCTTTTCTCCCAATTCTGTCTTAAATGTTATTTATATGAACTGTACTGACGTTTTTAGTACAACAGTCATGTAAAATTGTCACCACAGTGTGTAAGTGTTACCATATTGCTGCATGTACATTTGAATTGTATGGAAGTCCTTTTAGCCTCTAGCCTGTCTCTGAGATCAGCTATAGATATCTATAGAATAATATGGGACAAGACACATCTATAGCAGTATTCCTTATGAGGTATAGGAGACTTCTATGAAATGTCTTCCTACTGTTTAGCAACTTAGAGTTTTGAATTTTTTCTGAACTGAAGATATTATTTCTGTTCAGGTGGGAGGTTACTGTAGAGAAAGGCTCTTCATATAGGGAGCTATATGTCTATTTCTGAAGCCCAAATAATTGGCCTAATCTTTCTGCCAAGGATTAAACATTTCTGATGTGATGAAATGGAAATAAAGTAGTACAGCTGTGCACAGGAAGGTTATTTTCATGGAGGTCTGCTTGATCACCGTGAAATTAGTCTGGAAGAATTCAGTGGGTGATTCTCTGTAGTTGTTTGATATTGCACTTATAATCATAGAATCACCAAGTATAACTGCCCACCTGCCACTAAACCATGTCCCTTAGTTCAACACCTAAATGCTTGAACACTTCTAGGGATGGTGACTCTGTAAAGGGTTCTTGTGAGATTATCAGTCTCAAATATTTGAATTCTCATAAAATCATGATGTTAGTCACAATGGAAAAGACTTTGGGTGTGTTTATGACAAAATTATTCCTGTTCTGGTGTGAAGTATCCCACATCTTCCATCTCTGCTTTCCAAGATGAATTTATCCTTACTTGAGTCATTACCTATTGAATCTGCGCTCTCAAATTCCAGGACAAGATAGCTGAATATTGAAGTTTTAACTAAAATTGTCACTTCTGTTTGCTGCTCACTGTAAGGCCTTCAGTGAGGCAAAGATCTCAATGGAGAGGCAGTGGATGTTCACAATACAGGTTGAAGGTGTGCCTTCTGACTGGGAATAATTGGGCTGGCTGTCAAGAAGTATTTAATTTCCATTAAATGTAGTTAGGACCTGATCTGTTGATTTAGGTGTCTGACGTTTTCTGCCTATAGAAAATAAAACTAGTCGCTTCAAAATGATAGGAAAGATCTGTTAGAGTAATTCTGGGTAAGCACAGTATTTTGACCTAACTTCCTTGCTTAATAATTACCTCATAGCAAGCATCTTAATAGGAAGTATTTCTAATTTGAAGTGAAATTCCTCATTTTCTTTTAACCATTTGGATTTTATTTTCTTTGTATTTCTGTCTCTGTTCTGATGTGCAGATTACTTAAATGATCTCAAAAACCATTTTGAAGTTGCAGTGTAGTGAGTGGGAAATAAGCTTCTGAGAGAGTAGGAACTGTTGCTGTTTTAAAAAAAAAAAACACCTTATTTATCAATATTGTTTTTTCTAACAAAGTACCAAAAAAGAGTCAATTTCCTACTTTGATATAACCTTTCAGTTTGTATCTAATTAGTTATAAAACTTCCATAATGATTACTTGGGAAAGTAATGTTGAACAACCTTTCATGACAACACTTTTTGTAGCAGTCATGCTGGTACAGGATTAATAGAAGAAGAAAGTTGTGTTAAGACAAATGCTACACAGTGAGGACCTGAATTTGAGAGTGGTATAGAATTTTAAATAAATAATTAAATTAAAGGAAAACTAATATGCAAGAGCTTTTAATATAATTAGTGGGGGTGTTGGTAACAAAGGAACCTAACTTGCTCAATTCAACATATTTAAGGGAACACCTACAAGGATGACTGAGTGAAACCCATCTCTATGAATATCAGTAGTTTTGAGTTGCAGTTCAGTAATGCCCTTCTCTCTATAGCCTGCACGTAGTATGAACGTCTGCCCCTGTGAGGGTGCTCTTCTAGTCAATTAGCAATAAAGAATATTTTCTTTATTGTAAGAGATGATTGTCAGTTTTTTAAGCCTTGTCATGTGTTTCTGAAGAGACAGGTAGAAGAATTTGGCTTATTGAGTCTGTGTTGAAAAGAAACCACTTAAGCATTATACTTAGAATGAATCAGCCTAGCAGTGTCATGTCAGTTGGCATCAACAAAGTGACACAGCTAAGGCAGGGCATACCATAATGCATTTCTTCCATTCTGGATGTTAGTTAGAAAGGGACCAGACCTAAGATAATTGGGAATTATCTGATGGAAGATAGAGGCAGAGAGGTTAGATCATATTGCATCTTATAGATGAACGTGCAGGCCTTGATCAGTTGGGGAGAACAATTAGCATAGCCTTTACCTGAAATATACTACAAAGAACAACCCAGGAAACACTGGTTGGAGGCTGAAAGTACAACAGCAGGAGAAATAGTAGGTATTGCATGGCTTTTATTTGCTTTCTTCAGTAAGAAGCCAAGAACCACCATGTAGCTATTTTGTAGTTTGTTTCCTACACAGATGAGGCAGGAACTCCAAGAAACATCTCAGTTTGTTTTCAAAAGTTAAATAGCTATGCTTGTCCTGTTTGACATATATTTGGGTTTGTGAATGTCATAAACTATTGTATTTTACTGTTCTTAGTATGCTTTTATAATTAGGAACTAGGATTTTTGTGATTTTAAAAAAGGACATTTTGATTTGAAACAACCTCATAGGGGAGAATGTGGGTGAAGTGACTTCTCACCCCAAAATAGAGCTTTTTATATTATCAAAGCATTTTTTAGGAACTTCTTTTCTGGTTCCAATGTAATCTTAAGCAGAGAAATCATGTGAAGTTGTGGAATAGTTTGTACAGAGCCTGTTTCTCTAAAGAAGTACGTTTGCTTTTTCCGTTCCCTCAGCACTTGAAGTAGGGAAATAAAAGAATAAAAGAATCCTGATTTCTGGTGAGGTGGACGAAAAATACCAAGGGATTACAGAATTACCCATTTGGTAGTGATGAACTTCAAGAAAGACTGTCCAGGCATTCTTTTTAGGTGTTTTGCTTCTCCTAGTATGTGCATCTTAAGAATTGGCTTATCTTAAGAATATTTGCAAAGCTCTGCTGAGTTCAGCTAACAGTCCATGGAGCACAGCATGAGACTGTACAATTTCAGCAGTCCGTTTCCTTCATGCTGTCTAGCAACCTTGTTATTTTAAGGATGCCCCAGTCCTGTTTAGTATCCATATATGAGCACACTAAACCTGACAATGATACTATCAATGCTATACAGTCTCCTCTTAGAGCATGTAATGTTATTATCTACTTATTACTACAGATAATATTCCACATACTAGAACACGTTGTTCACAACATTATGAGAACATTTAAAAATCAAAATATTTTTGAATGTACAGTAAGAAGTTTAGAATCCTGTTCCTCTGAGGACTGCTTTGTGACCTCAATCAGCTGCATGTGTTTGTCAGCATTGCAGCAGGAACTTACTAAGGAGGACTTGAGGGTAGCAATGTGGCATTCTGGTTGCTATCGCTGTTCTTTCAAAGCAGAAGAGAAAATATGACATGCATACAGTTAGTCAACAATGGATATCAGCCTTGTGAGGATAGGAGCAGCTCTGTTACTGCCTAAAGAA